TGATACCTGACTCTGATATTGGACTCTGACACCTGACTCTGATATTTAACTCTGAAACTGGACACTGATATTGGACTATGATACCTGATTCTGGTATTGGACTATGATCTTGGTCTCTGACATCTGACTCTGACATTTGACTCTAATATTATACTCTGATACCTGACTCTGATATTGGACTCTGATATTGGACTCTGATACCTGACTCTGATATTGGACTCTGATACCAGACTTTGCTGCCTGCCTTTGATTCCTTATTCTGGCAGTTGAGCCTAATATTTGGTTTTAACAATAAATCCTGATAACTGTCTTTGATGCCAAATTCTGATACTAGATCCTAACACCTGCCAGTTGAATCTTACAGCTGATGTTTGACTCTGGCCCCTTAATGTAATACCTTACTCTCATACTTGACTGACATACAACATTCCTGACTGACACATGAGGTTGATGTCTGAAGGAGGACAAGCGATCTGTTTTAGATAAGGAATACATTCGTTTCAGCTGAAATGAGGATCACTTTAAGTGACCGTGGTCTGCAAGAGTTTTACAGGATGAATGATGGAAGAATGGTAGATGACTGTTTGGAGGACAACTGACCAAATTTTGGTGCAGACTGACCAAATTTTAGTGCAGTGGGGTGAGGTTTGGAGGAGAAGTGAGTAGCATGCTAAGGTATGTCTTAAAATGGACCCTGTATAGACACTGATTTGGCGAACACCAAAATTAACTCAAGGTGTCAGAATGTGACTATTATCTCAATATAACAGACATGATATTCACATCAGTATTGTAAGATTTTCAGGTCTATGACTAGTAACATTGTCAGTTCCTCACCCATGGTATTGTAGCAGCACACTGTACATCACTGTTCACATACTAGTCATACCTATTTCCTTCCATTAGGTGGCAGCAAAGTTAAATCAATTCCTAATAGTATAGTATAGTAGCTGACTGACAGGGAACTACTCTACATACACGCTATCCCCAACCTCCATTGCTTTACCAAATTATAAGAATTAGTGCCCACCCAGGCCAACCTAAAAAAACAATTTCATTAGTAGGGTAAACCCTTGTATTAACCGCTTGCTGTCCGGAGCAATTTCTTACTATTTGCACCCACATGATAAAATATACATTGTTTTGGCTAGAAAACAGCTTCAGACCCCCAAACAATTATATAGTTTCTGAAAGCAGAGGCCCTGTAGAATATAAAAATGTCAGTTGCAATTTTTTATGTTGCATGGTATTTGCTCAAATGTTTATCAAACAAGTATTTTTAGGGCAAAATACACTAAAATGAAATTTAATGCACAGAAACAGAATATAATACCCAATTTTTTGATGAAATATAAAAGATTGGTTCATGTCGGGTAAATAGTTACCAAACATGTCAAACATGAGAAAGCTGGTCGGTTGACCAGTGAAATGTCTTCAAGAAAAATACAGCAAGTCCAGTTGCCTTGACTTATTTTTTACAGATACAAACATGTCAAGCCTTAAAGTGACATTAAACCCTCAGATCTTTTAACATAAACCAATACTGTAATGTGTGCCTTACTGTAATCCATGGTTGTTTCCCTTCTCTTTGCTGCCCTTTTAAATCTGTATCTCTTCTCATGCTTGGTGAGAGCTTCCCTTTGCAGCTGAGTGCCTCTTCCTGTAGTGCTGGCTCAGGTTGCAAACCTACACACAAACACCATGTACCCATTTCAGAGACAAGGCAGTCTGCTGCAAAACAGAAGTTCTTCCCAGCATGAGAACAGATAGAGATTTAAAAGGAAGAGCAGCAAAGAGAAGGGAAACAACCATGGATTACAGTAAGGCACACATTACAGTATTGTTTTATGTTAAAAAATCTGAGGGTTTAATGTCACTTTAAAATTGTGTTTGCCCGTGAAGCCGCAAAAAACTACAATACCCAAAATTTCCCATAGGGGACACTTTAAAAGCTTTGCTCATCAGTTAATAATGATTGATGGCTCTAGAATAATTTCTCTCACTCTGACGTTCGCGATATGTAACATGTGTAGCAAAATTTTCGTTCTTGCATGTAGGGGCACGGAAGTGTGTTTGCGTAGGTATGTACGTGCACGTGGAGGGCGGGGGACTTCAAGAAATGGTTTTATTTTTTTATATGTTACTTTAATTTTTTTATTTTTTAAACACTTTTTACATTTTTTTTTTACACTAACTTTATTGCTATCACATAGGGGGCTTACAGCTCTGCCATATGATTTTTTTATTCAGGTTGTTAGATGATTGCAATATTAGTTTTTTACTCAGCTGTGATAATGATTGCTGATTAAACTAAAGCTGGCCATATACTAGTCAATTTTCGAAAGAATGTTCGCACAAGCGATCTATTGTTCGTCTTTCTATTAGTTGATGGGGGTCAAATCGGTCATGGATTTTGATCAAAGTGATGAAAAAATGTGAAGGCTCGGGATGGAAATTGTAACAGTGAATGTGGTTTTTGTTCGCGAAACTCCATTCATTTTAACTAGGGATGCACAGATACTTTTCGAGTACCAATGCCGATACTTGGCGTTTTCATGAGAACTACCAGGGTTGCAGCGGTTGCAGCTAGGACCTGGCTCTGGCACTCTACCACGGTCCTGAAATCATTAGTCTGTATTGTTTTAGAAAAACTGTCACATGACAATAAACAAAAATGGATCAGAACTTGTACTTGTAAGTACTCGGCAAGTATCAGTACTCGTACTCGCAAAACTGGTATTTGTGCATCCCTTCATTTATATGTTTAATCGTACATTAAAACAGAGATGTACAAATCCCAGGAGCTCCGTGTGCTCCTTACAAATGATAGCTGCCTCCTAATTTTTGAATTTTTCTCTAGTCTAGTCTTGGAGCTCAAAAGTATTGGTACATGTACTCGTACTTGTACCGAGTACTGTACTTGGTATCTGTGCAACCCTAATTTTAACATTGAATGTAAAAATAAAACAAAATGTTGTTTGACATTCGTCATATATATATATATATATACAGGTGAAATAGGGACAGTCATTCAGTTTCTTTATTCGACTGGTATTTAAAAATAGAGGTATATGTGTGTTAGTATTGTAATCACAAACTACATTGAGCCTGGATAAATGTAATTTTATTTGGACAAAAAGAGGAAAAGCAAAGTTTCAGCAATGGGATATGCATGTGTTTTTAGTAGAGATACAGCATTTCTGCTGTCGCCATTGGTTTGCTCACTTTTCTCCTTGCTGGAGGTTCTAAAGTGGGGAAGCAAAGCCCTGCTTTTATTAAAATGTCTGGCTCCTGGTGAACCTGCAACCAATTCATCCTTTGCTATATATGCTCCAAGATGGAGTCTCTCAGGACCACAATACACGGAGGAGCCTTGACAAGGCCGTGTGGCTTCCATATATTCTGCAAAAGACATGCAACTAAAACCTCTGTTTTTAACAGCGTCATTTTTGTTGTTGTTGTTGACTAGCTGGTAAGTGTGCTGGGAAACTTTTTGATTTTGGATTGCCTCCTCACATAGACATAATTTTGCTGATTCATTGCTGTTGGCTATACCTTGCACAGCAAGTAATGGATCCCTGGTGATGTGTGCCAATTTTGAGTCCATAATACTACCCATAATGTTTAAACCCTGAAGAAGAGGGAGGCCTTTGAACCTCCAAAACGCGTTGGATGTTCTGTGTTTGGGTTTATAAACCCATTCCATTATTAAACGTTTTTCTTCTTGTTTGGCACTCTCAATGGACTGTATATTTGTGTTTACCATCATGTCCGCCTCCATATATAGACACAATACAGAACACGGCATGGAAAGCCAGTAACAGGGACAGATCAGCTCAGGGAGATCACCTGCAATACTGGTGACTAGTCCTTTGCCCGCTGACTTTTTTTGGGGGGGGAATGCAGAGTTTGTTTACTTTTTGGCAGACTGAATTTGGTGTCCTGCATCTGAAAGCATGTACATGTTTATGCAAGTCTGGCGTATATGTACATTGGCACTATATATATATATAATATACAGGGATCTCAAGTCTCCCTGATGTTCAGGGAGTCTCCCTCTATTAGATAGCGGCTCCCTGATGTCCGCGAGAGAGGCATTTTCTCCCTGAAATGTTTACTCTGAGTAAACCTTTCCGATAAGATATCAGTGGGTAAGGTCAGAGTGAGGCTTGCCTCTTGGATGAAGGTCATGTGATCTCTAGAGTGGCCTCAGAACGAGGCTTGGCTCTCAGAAGGAAGAAGCTACTTGCTGCACAGAGAGGGCGGACATAGACTACTATTGAGAGCAGATACAGGCACTGCTGCAGGGTTGAGGGAGTGCTGTTAACCCTTTGTGGATAATATAGAATCAATTATATGTCCTGGTTGTCTAGTTATAGAGAACATTTATTTAATTTGCTGCCCATAGCATCTAGTCAATGTGTATCAGGGACTTTACTCCTCAGCGTTTTTTTAAAAAGGTCTCGGGCTGTCTAATAAATTGTGACCTTTACACTGACAGTTACTTGAACGTCAATTCACAAATCTGATGTGTATATATAAATAAATAAATACATAATATTATTGTATTATTGGTACATG